TTTTCATTGATAGTCCTGCTACAGCTGAAGAAATTGTGAAAAGAGGCCTTGATATGATTGGTGAAATTGGCTACAACCTTTTATGGAGTAACTGTGAACATTTCGCATCATACTGTAGATATGGAAAACCTAAAAGTGACCAGGTGTGTTATAGTGTTCTGAATTTTATAATATTTAAATTATTAATATTATAAGCATTTATTGCTCACAAATTGACACACAAATCTTTTTGTCTTCATTGTTTATCTATGGATGAGTTTAACTTATGCCCTGAACCTCAGGGCACAATGCAGAGAGTTATTGCATGTTTGAATTTTACACTAGCAAATTCTTTTTAAAACACTGTGAAAAAAAATATGCTTTGCAATTCTTTGATAATAGAATGATAATACGCAAAAAATCCACTTTTTTACATTAGCAAAATTTTTGTGACGCTTAAATACACTGTAGCCTCGATACATCGCTCTCCATTATAACACTAATCTCAGTATAGCACTCATAGACCTTGCCCCCCCCCCCCCCAAAAAAAAAAAAATAAAACTCCCAAAAAAATATAAAAAATTAAGTAGATCTAGATTTATAGCTCGCTATAACGTTTGTTCAATTTGAAATTTGACAGTCAAGTACAATTAACAATTGTAATTAGGACATTTATTAGCACCAAAGGCTGAAAACATGCCCAAGTTAGCGTTTATCAGCTCTTTTGCTGTTTTACCGGTCCATCAGTCAGGCATCAAATTGTTTCCAAAATCTCAAATTCATATCATAACTGTGACATGGGCAACTGGTGGTGAGTATAAATAAACTAAAATTCACACAAATATCTGTGACATGTAAACCTCGCTGAATTAAATAACCAACACAAGCCCAAAATCAATTCAAAATCCCGCACTGTAAATAGAGTGGCCGAGACAGAAAGTAAATGGGGTTTGATTAACTAGGGGACACAACTAAAGCTGGACTGTAAATTACAATGTTATTACAGTGTAAAGGCTAACTGTTTACACTACATTCATGATTTATGTTTTTCTTTCTTTTAAATATAATTAGAATTATTTGTGAATATATGTTTACATCATTGAATTGTTTTAGAAAAAGATGTCGATTTTCATTGAATCATTAGTAAAAATCGTCAGCGTTATATATATATATAGGCGATTGTGGGGTAATGCGGTTATTTGCAATGAGCGTTCTAATGAGAGCCTCGTTAGAACGCAGTGTTGAGACATTGGACTCCAACTTGAGCGTTATAATGAGGCTATAGTGTATCCACTTAGTATCCACCTCTGTAAATGAGACTTTATGTCATGTTGATTTAAAAAGCACTAAAGAAAAAACATTTGCATTTTGCAGGGCCTTAAGGGGAAAGACCTGTTTATTGCCCCCAAGTATTCTCTACATTCATTATGCTGATGCACATCTTGTAGTCTGTTACAAAAATATGTGAGCTAACAATCTCCATTTTGAACTAGGACAGGATTGTCATACTTTAACATTACAAACTTTCAGTATTCAAAATTATCAAATTTTTATCATAATTTGTTGTAGTTATAAAGGGACATAATATGCTTCATGTCATATAAATATACTTGTTTTTGATATTCATGCTTCAGTGGAAGGATAACATAAAAGCTATAAAATATGTATCTTATTTTCTACTCTCATTAGCTCAAAGTGCTCAGAGGTTCCCTTTTGTGATAGCATATCATTCTGTTGTCTGTCTTGTGGCATTCTTCATGATCAGTATACATTCTTAAAAGATACATACTTATCCTTGTACAGAAGTTTTTTTGAAATCTAAATTGATTTTTTTTAACGGTAAGCTGAATATGTCTGATTAGAAAGAAAGAATGAACAAACTATGTATGAGAAGCTATGTTCCCTAGTAGGGTTCAAGTAAAGTTAGTCCTTTCTTATATATTCATATTGTGACAGCCTATTGTGTCTAGAGTTTTTAACATAACATATCTACTTTATGTGAAGTCAAATATGTTGTTCAATAGTTGCAAAGAGACTGTGTAGCAATTAATGATATTTTCTGATATCAAATTTGAGCATAGTATATCTTTAAAAAAACATCTTTAAGCTACATAAATTTGCATTTGTTTCCAGTTTAATGTAAAAGTAAATCAGAGAGACTATATTATAGACTTAAAAAATTAATGAAATCTTTTAAAATATTCTTCTCACAAACAGCATGTGTAGAACTTAGATATTTGGCATTTAGCAATGACTGGTGGTCCTCACCAATAGGAGCCCATTCAGAGGGTTATAAGTAGTCTGCCCCCAACCACCACCCACCCCACCCTTAAGGTCACTTACTTTACATTGACTTGTATAGGATATAGATTACAAAAATCTTTCAAAAAACACAGCTTCGATATTTAAAACAAAGCATCATTTTGAGGTTCTTTAAAAAGATTAAAAACATGTATATCAGACCGTATGGTCAAAATTGTTTATGCCGTGATTAGTGTCACTTAGTTTACACAATATAAGAATATAAATATCAGTGAGGGAGAGCAAAGTTCAGGAAAAGCAGCCACAACTGCTGGGAATTTTCCATTTTGTATTGCTTAGTGAACCCTCTATTCAAGTTATATGAATCATCACATAGTCTTGTTCAAAATGGTTCCCACCCTAATTTGAGCTAAAAACCTTCTGCATTAAAATTCCTTTACCTTTCATAGCAATGATCTGAGATGAGTTATCTGCAATTATGGCCACTTTAAAGGAATTCCACTGAGGTCTAATAGCCTAAAATAGTAATTTTTTATATTCTTTCTTAAATCAACTGGTTACCTCTTAAATTTGAAACCAAGCAATAAATCATATATAAATATACACTGTTTTAAATTGATAATTAATTTCAATGCAAATTTTGGCCGATTTGAGTGAAAACCATTGCAACGGTTTTCATTTTTTAGGCCAATTTGCACAATAAAATTGATTTATTTCTGGGAAACGGAGTGAGTGAATGATCTGAAATTTTGTACACAAGTCATTGGCCTAGACATATATCTAGCTATTCAAAAGTCTTGAAAAAATAAACATCAGTGGAGTCCCTTTAATAATTGTAATAAAATTGAAATGTTATTTTTTAATCCCAGGTGTATTGTTTCTGTACATTACAGGTGGATTCTTTTTTCACATGGGCTGCTGTTAGTGGTGCTGTTGCAGCAGGTATTCTTGCTGTAGCAGTTGGGAGCTCTAAAGAGAAGAAAAAGAAAGTGGAGGAAAGGTTGCAGACTGCATAAAAACTTCATGCTAATTTTTTAGGAGCAAAGACATGAACATGCTAAATTTTTAGGAATGGTCGACATGAAAATACTAAAATTTTTAGGGCCAGAGGCTTGAAAATATTAATTTTTTAGGATCAAAGGCATGAAATTACTAAATTAGGATGAAAATATGAAAATACTAAATTTTTTCAGTGCTGAAGGCATGGAAATATAAAAAAAATTGGGGCTTAAAGCATAAAGTTATTAAAATTTTATATTGTGAAAAGTGTTAGCAAAAATCATTTCATTTTCATTAAATATATCTGTGAAGTAATCAGCATGATGAAGAATGCATTTTGACCGTCTTTATTGCATTGATAATTGCATTTGTTACTATAAATCTCAAATTAAGATCTTATGTTTTTTGAATAAAGAGATCTGAATTCAAATGTTATAATAGTGTATTGTAGAATTCTTATATAACTTGTAGCATTTTACAATTTTGATATGATATACTTCTTCTTTTACATATAACATGTAAGTATGATGATCTGTCAAATCATTTGTTGAAAATTATACACAATCTGACTAAAGTTCAGATCTACTTAAGTTATTTCTTGCATGTAGATCTGATTGCCACCATATATGTAATTTTTTCGCCTTCATTTTGATTCAGATTTCCCGAGAAAGCTATTTTAAGCCATGCAAGCAAACTGTCATTTACGGAACAGGCATTAGATGAAGTATCATAGTCTTGTTGTTCATGGAAGTAGAACAAATCGTTAATGTTAATTTGATAAGAAAAATATTTGAAGTAATTTGAAACAAGTTTGAGAGGTAATGAGATGGTGACAACATATTGGTGGTCGTCAGATCCTAATGCATAGCGTTATTTAGGAGCTGATTTTAATAAGATTTAAATAATACATTCCTGTTATATCATGTATAAAATATTATACAGAACAGCATGAACTGTTAATTTCTGTTATTATGATTTTGTTATGTTTACATTATTTATCAGCATGGAATGTTTGTTATGAATTTAAAAAAAAATTTTTTTTAATGCAGCCAAGCTGTGGAATTCAATTTGGTAGCCACTTTATTTTTTTATATCATTATATATAATAATAATTATTTAAAGATTTATAATTTTGTTTTACTGTTCCATATTTTAGAGAAAAAAACATTGTTTTTTACTGATGTTTTATGCATATGAGGTTTATAAATTATTTATTTTATAGTTTATTCAGTTTGGTATTTTATTTGTTGCTAATAGTATAGGTGAATATTTTGTGTCATTTTAAACCTGTTTCCATTTTTCCATATATTAGTAATGGAAAGCTTACTAATAGAAAATTACATTTTGTAACTTTACATTACGATATTCATATTATCATCTTAGTGCAGTAAAATGTTAAGTCCTTCTAAATTAAATAGGAGTTAACCAGTTATTGCTCTAAAGTGACAATATCAGAGAGTAATGAAGGTGACTTTTGATGGCACTGATTAGCAGCCATAGTATTATTTAGTTAAACAATTCTTATGAATGTATCAAATATTTGTTATTAGTCAAGATCACAAGTAACTAATTTTCATTCTCATAGTCTTGTGATGTATGTATCATTTATCTAAACACTGGATCTTTATCTAACTTGATTCAACTGTACGTGCAAAGATCTCAGTGGCAATACTCAATTCTAAATGGGAACAAGGCACTAGACCCCTCAAATTTTGAAGACATTTCTCTCTTCAAGACACTTCACTCATTCACTTCTTACAGCTTTTTTTTCAGAGTTAATGTTTCAACAACAAAATTAGTGAAAGTTTTATATGATCATTTTCTTTATTTTTTATTAACCAGAAATCCAAAAGTGTGGTATCTTAATAATATTTTAATTATCGAGGAGTGAATTGCCTGCAAGAAATGGCTTGGGTTGAACTGTGGAGAGGAGAGGGGTTCAGGTATTTGTTAATCGCTGTTGTTAGTCCATGAAACTTAGATAATCAAATTTCAACAATATTTCAAATTAGCAATGGCAAGAGTGGCTGAATCTTTAGAAGATATGGTACAAAGGAGGGGAAATAATTACTTTGAACCTCCTGTACAAAACTTACAGGGGCACAACTCTTACATAAAGAAAGATTGTGAATAAACACATTTATCTCCCTTTGTCAAATCTTGTATAATACATGTATATTGTGATTAATTTTGTGACGATTTTCTGATGTCTGAAGTAACTACAAATGTATTTAAACATAGGATATTATTTGTCAAGTATGATTTTCATTCATTGGTAAAAGAAGTTGTTTTCTTTTGTTGCCATTTATTGTGCCCCCACTTTAGTGGCGTGCATTTAGATTTAGCCTTGTCCATCCATCCGTCCGTCCGTTCTTTTTGTGTTGCACGTAACTCAAAAAGTATTTGACCTAGAGTCATGAAACTTTACAGGAATGTTGATCAGCATGTGTAGTTGTGCACCTGGGTATTTTCGTCTGGATATTTTTAGTATTTTCAGAGTTATTGCCCTTGACTTAGTAAAATTTTGCAATTTTCAACTTGTGTCGCACGTAACTCAAAAAGTATTTGACCTAGAGTCATGAAACTTTACAGGAATGCTGATCAGCATGTGAAGTTGTGCACCTGGGTATTTTAGTCTGGATATTTTTAGTATTTTTAGAGTTATTGCCCTTGACTTAGTAAAATTTTGCAATTTTCAACTTGTGTCGCATGTAACTCAAAAAGTATTTGACCTAGAGTCATGAAACTTTACAGGAATGTTGATCAGCATGTGTAGTGACTTATAAATTTTTTGCAATTTTCAACTTGTGTGGCATGTAATTCAAAAAGGATTTGACCTACAGTCATTAAACCTTATGGGAAGTTGCTCAGCATATTTAGTTTTGCACCTGGGGTTTCGCTTGTGGATTTATCCAGTATTTGTAGAGTTATTTCCCTTGACTTAGTAAAAACCGTTTCATTATGTTGTTATTTGTTCCTGGAGTGCTTGAGTAAGAATCAACAAACTTTACAGGAATAATTATCAACATCACTAAATTACAGGAATAATGATTCACATCACTGTGAAGCTATGCACCTGGGACTTTGCAAGTAGATTTTTTTTAGTTTTGTTAAGAGTTATTGCCCTTGACTTACTGTAGTATAAATTTGCAATTCTCAACTTGTTCATGCATAGCTCAAAAAGTATTTCACTTGTAGGCCTGAAAGTTTACAAGAATGTTGGTCAGCATGTGTACTTATGCACCTTGGGGTGTGCTTGCGTATTTATTCAGTATTTGTAAAGTTCTTGCCCTTAACTTAGTAAAAGATTTTGTTTTCAAAAAATATTTGACCTAGAGTCATAAGATTGACAGAACAGTGGCTCGGTGGGGGCACCCGTGTCCTATGGACACATTTCTAGTTTTTATCTTGTACATGGCAGCAAATTAAGGTTAGTTTGAAAAAAAATTTTACACTTAGTATCTCAAATGGGATGTTTCCATTTTGGCACAGAAGTGCTTTTATTTTTATTACCCAATTTTTGTGTCACCTCTACGGAGTAGTGGCGACATATAGGGATCACTTCTCCGTCGTCTGTCTGTCCGTCTGTCTGTCTGTCCGTCCGTCCGTCACAAAACTTGTCCGGACTACTCCTCATAAACTACTGGTGCAATTTCATCCAAACTTTACAGGAATGATCAGTACCAAGTCTAGTTGTGCATATTGTCAGCTTTTTCCGGTTCAATGATTTTTGTCAGAGTTTTGGCCCTTTAATAATTTTTAAGTTTGTCCGGACTACTTCTCTTATACCACTAATGCAATTTCAATGAAACTTTACAGGATTGATCTGTAGCTCAAGTCCTTGCGCATATTGCACGGGTTTTCCGGTTGAATGATTTTTGGCCGAGTTATGGCCCTTTGATAAAAAGGTTTCTTTTTCTGTGTGTTGCCAGATACACAAAAGCTTGTCCGGACTACTCCTCATAAACTACTGGTGCAAATTCATCCAAACTTTACAGGAATGATCAGTACCAAGTCTAGTTGTGCATATTGTCAGCATTTTCCGGTTCAATGATTTTTGTTTGAGTTATGGCCCTTTAATAATTTTTATTTTTAAAGTTTGTCCGGACTACTTCTCTTATACCACTAATGCAATTTCAATGAAACTTTACAGGATTAATCTGTAGCTCAAGTTCTTGCGCATATTGCACGGGTTTTCCGGTTGAATGATTTTTGGCTGAGTTATGGCCCTTTGATAAAAAGGTGTTTTTTTCTGTGTGTTGCCAGATATACAAAAGCTTGTCCGGACTACTCCTCATAAACTACTAGTGCAATTTTATCCAAACTTTACAGTAATGATCAGTACCAAGTCTAGTTGTGCACTGTCCGTCTGTCACAAAATTTGTCCCAACATGAAATTGGCCATCATGAGGCGACACATGTGATTACTGATCGCTCTTGTTTTTAATTTTTATTATTTTTGATTAATATCATGATAATTTTTTATTGTGTGAATTTTGTGTTTGAGATGGCATGTTCAACTTACAATTGATATTTACTGGAAATAATTACGTTATCATGGTAGCCAGTATGTGCCATGTTGTTTCGTCAAATTGAGACATTTGGAAATAACACTATGTAGCCATTTTAATTTGGCCTTTGTAAATTCACTTTTTCAATACCATCCTATCAGTTTTATTGAAAATCTTACAAAAGCATAATTATCTATAGCCACTTTATTTATTAATTTAGTACTGCATGTTTTTCATTCTTGAACTTTATAGAAAAAAAGTTTGCTATTTCATTGTGATATTATAAATTGAGAGTAATGCATTAGCATTGTTAGATATGGCACTTGCTACTGCTAGCCCCTATTCTTTTATCTGAATAATTTTCATAATTAGATTCTTAACATAAGTTTTAATATATCTTAATTAGATTCTTAACAAGTTTTAATATATCTTTAAACATTCTGTATGACCTATTATGTTGTGATATAAAGATTCTGTGATGTCTTAAATTGTTTATTTTAATATTGAACAGATTTTTGCATTTGCATTTGTTGTATATTATTTTTTAGCTCACCTGAGCACAGCATGAGCATTTAAGGGTCATCATGACCCTCTTGTTATTTTTTACTCGTAATTGTTTTCTATTTAAGTAGCAATATTTATTTCATGAATATGGAGGATATCAATTTTTGTGAAAAGTCAATGAAATTTAAGCTGTGTTAGTGTAAAGCAGATATAAGTCATTATGTGATATCCGGGAAATAGCACTGTCTTGCTACTACACTTTTAGCAACTGTAAGTGCATGTGTATTTCTGCTGTATAGATTATATAGTGATCTTTATTTTTTTCTCTAAACCAACAAGTCTGATTTCAAACAAACTTTAGTGCTACGGACTTTCAGTGATGTTTGGCAACTAAGATAAATAATTGAACAAAACTGATAAAATCTTCTTCTCGAGAACCACAATGCTTACAGCTTTGTGATTTTACATGCAGCGTTACCTAGGTTTATTAAATCACAACATCTGTGGTCACATTGACTTTTAAAATCATCTCCAGGACTGCAAGTTTTAGTGCTTAGACATTTTGCATCAGGTATTGTCTTATAAATGTCAATAAAGAATCTTTGAAAAATGGACCATAGGGCCAAATCGTCCCCATATTTTGTGCTCATTGTGCATGTATATGAGATACTTGTTGTATTTTAATGAGAAACTTGTACTTTGACATTTTGCATGTAGCAATACCTAGTACACCAGTCCTGTACAAAGTGTGTTTAGATCAAGACCTTAGGAATCAAGTTTGTCATCCCCTGATGTCAAAAGGACAAAGTAATAAACCTTTTTATCTTGATAATTAAGATATAGCCTTCATATTTCAACATATGATACATCTGAACAACGTTTTTCATTTTATGATATTTTACTTTGAGCCCAATATGAACGTTGTGGTCAAAGGGCAAATTTATTTATATTTAGAAATGATGTACATGTACTTTGTTATGAAGGTCAGATATTCATTTGATATGCTTAATAACAGCCTAACTTATATTCAGTATTGACCATTAGATCTACTGGTCAATGATTAAATGTTCAAATCGTCATAACTTATTGGTTTATACACTCAGTGAAATTTGTATTTTATTTATAGATACACATAATTATTAACCAATCATTTTGTTTCACATGCTGAAATATTTGCGTTGAGTTCTATTTGACGAAGGTGATTGTTAGATGATTCTTACTTCTATTTAATTTTATATGATATAGTGGCATTTGTTTTGAACGTTAGCAGTCTTGTTATCATTATTAATGCTTATCTTTTAATAACTTCTCTGTTTTACACAGGTAAATGTTAAAGTCGTTGTTTTGTGACATTAATCAATAATTTTGTGGTGTTTATTCTATAATAGTTTCCTCTATTTTTAAATGTGTATTAATTTCATTTTGGATGAAATGGATTGTTTTATGCATTAAACCAATGGCGTGCTATTTTGTTTTCTTTTTATACCCCTGAAACAATTTCGAAATAAAGATTGTTATACATCTGACCATCCATCTGTTGGCAATTTCGTATCTTTTTTCTGGCAGAAATATAACCATAATGAGAGGATATGCAGAGCGCAGGTTTTACCCACCTCATGCCAATGTCACCCTTTGTCATTTTGTATGAATTAAAAAAAAATGATAGAAAGAACTTAAAACGTTTGCTCAGAAATATGACTCATAATCAGGCGATATACAGAACATATATTTGGGCTTCCCGAAATCGAAATTTCCCCCACCCCTAGGAGTACTTGATTTATACAGACATACACAGGAGAATACATTTAAGTATAGTTGTATGAAATTTCAGTGTCTAGAGTTCAGATATGAAGCATATTCAATTGCCTCATTGACCTTTACAAAACTGTAATGAAACATGCCAATGGGTTCAATTTTGTTTATGTTCAAGAAGTCACTTGATTTGTATAGACTTGTGTATGAATCACATTTGTATTTGTGAAACTACAATGCCCAGAACTTATATATTTGGCATGTAACATCAATTTGTAGTTTTTTTTACAAAAGTTATATTACTCATGACCTTCAAGTCAAAGTTAGCCCTGCCCTGGGACTCTCTTCCTTTTATGTAGACCTTTGTTTAGAAAAACACAAAATAGTTCTATGATATGAACCATGCACCTAGGTTAAAAATGCCCCCACCCTGGAACTCATTAAGTAACATATATATGTACAGCATTTACCAGAGGTCTCTTCTCTAATTGAAAGATTATTATTGATTTCTTAAAAAAATCATGCATACATTGGCTTGTCTTTTGGATGCTATTGTTATTCCCACCACCAACCAAAGATATATGTATATATCTTCTTTATCCGGTCCTGTCCTTTCTATACAGTATTGTCCTGCCCTATCTCTGGAAGGTAGAGATATTAATCAAAACACTGGAACATCGTGGCAATATCATAATGCAACTGTATTTGTTAAGTTTCATAACCCTGATAGTTATTATAACAAATTTAACAAAAATAATCACATTGTTCATAAATTGTATAGACTGTTACAAAATTAGAGCTTACTTGAAAAAAAAACAAAAACAAAAAAGCAATCGTACCTTTAATCATATTGAATATATAAGAAAAAAACAACAACAAAAACATGAATATTTGCGGTCTCGATCGTGAGCAATTGCGCTATATAACGCTTTGTATAACTATTTTATAAACAC